GATACGTTGCATTTCGCGTCTGTCTGCGCGGTGTAACTAGTAATGAAAAGTCAAAAATGAGAAAGTAGTATTTGTGTGTAAATAAGTAAAGCTACATCTGATTGTAAGGTTAGGTTAACACAGTAAACGCAACCCATTCTGTATTATGTGTAATTTTGAATGAATTTGACCCTGCCTATCGGGTAAATGTCAGTTATTGTGAGGGGCAGTAGTAAAAACTTGCCAGAACAAAATGTTAGATTTGTCGTAGCATTAATAAGCTTAAAGAAAAGTTAGGCACACTGAAAACCATGACAAACCTAGTTGAATCTGTCCGGCAGTACATCGCCGAAATGATGCGAATCAGCGGACCTGGCATGAAGGTTCTTCTCATGGACAAGGAGACGGTAAGCAGGCTTAAATTCATTTGATTAAGTTTGTGGTAGCAGTTTGATGATTGTATTTCTAATGTACAAAAATAGCTATGAAGCAACTGCTTTGAAATTTTTCCGTAGTTAGGATCTGTTCGATGTTTTGGCTCTTAACAGTAAATTGATTCGCTGTTGTTTTTACTAGTAACTGTGACTACCGGAGCTGCTTAAGTTAAGAATTAAACGTGTTTACAGGAGTTTTATTCTGTGCCCGTAATTTTTCAAACCCTCCATGCATTCAAAGAACGTTCCGTTTCGTTTTATACGTGTTAATATACTTTGCATTCCTGCTTACCTTCAGTCGTTTCTGTTGGTTCCACATCTTGCTTGAAGGTCTTTATATGATCGCTAGGATTTGTCGTTAGGTTTTTGTTTTCTCTCTTATTTGTATTATTCTTTATGTTGATACCCAATCATGCAGAGAAATTGAGAATGAGTTTGAAAATTTGCTGCTTGAACAAAATCACTAGGGAAAATCTTCCTTTTTAGCACAGTTAAAAGAGCAGAGAAGAATGGAAAATCTGTTATGTGATCGAACAGCTGTACAAAGCATCTCAGGGAATTTTTCTTCCAGGACACTGCATATGAGCTTCTGTGCCCCATTCGGAATCCTATCGCAACTCCATATTTCCATACTCCAGTGTCTAGCGCGTAACTTTAGACATCCAGTTGCCTGTAAAACGTTGGGTACTTAAATTTTAATCGAACCGTTTGACTTTTCGTACGTAAGGCAACCTGTAGTTCTTCAGTCAAGCATAGTTTTGACCAGAACCACATCAGAAATCGTATAGAAATGTTGTAAATAATAAATTGATACATAAACATTTGTTCACAAAATATATTCTTTTACCCTGATAATGCTGTGAAAAAATTCAATTTTTAATATGCGTTTCAAGGTCCTAGAGAGTTCTTTGCAGCAACGAGCAGCACTGACCAAAATGACCCAAGCCCAGTAGGTGTAGATATGGCGTGGAACTTTCTAAGTCGTCGGCTGCCCCGAAGTTTCTTTTTTTTTTAACTATATCCCCGTTTTGGGCACATTTTGCGAGTGCCTCTAGAAAAGAAGACGAAGCAACTATTATTTGTCCAGTCGACTGAGAAAACTCATGGGACGGCTAAGATTGACCTGATAATCGTATGGAAGGAGTCTTCTCTACATTTCAGTGTTTTTGTTCCGAAGCTGAACAGCTGATGCAGGATGGACTACGTTATAAACACTATAGACACGTCTGCTTCCCCTACCAGAAAGATGAAATGGGCATGAAAATTGAATTGAACTGAATATTTGCAGCAAATATTTGAATTGGACTTACATTGCTGGCTCGAGGGATCATTTCCTGAACTGCGACATCATTAATCTAGGGTAAGCGAGACTGTCGTCAAGCACCACACCCTAGACAACGATGACAAACAAAAACAGCATTCGAGGCAACACGGTACAATACACATTAATGCACAGACAGCAAGTAAGCGAATGATTCACTATTATTTAACGACTTTGTGGGCTTTTGCTGTAGCTGCAGGTTAATGCTAAGTCGATGATTTGTTACGAATAGTTCTGTTGGTGTGAGAAATCGTCATCCTTCTTGTCTTTCTAAATCTTTCCGTGAGAAAGCACAGTCATTTTGTATACTCTGTTGTTCTGTAATAACCGTTTACACAGAGCATATGTTGTTTTAACAACATCAGTATTAAAAACAGCATAAAACGCGGTTTATGCACAACGCGAGCCGTTGATCGGTCGAATGATTGACCAGTACCGCCGTTTTGAATCTTGTCTACAGGCTCTCTTCAAGGTAAAAAATTGGTTTGGCTTCACAATATTTTTGGTATTCCGACTCCAAGTGTAGGAATTGCTGTGAAAAACCAAAAGAACTTTCAGTATTAAATCAATTTTCTTCCTTGAAAAAGGCCTTTGGACATGAGCCAAATGTCGGTACTGATCAACCACTCGATTAACGAAATTTGCTTGTCTACGACATACTGAACAATTGTCATAAGGTTTGTTTGTAATTTAGTACGAAAAATTCATGTATGATATTTTTTGCTCATTGCCAGAGCATTGAAAGGTTTTACTATGCGCAGTTATACTTCCGTACTTCTTTCAAGTGGCTCAACATCTGATCGAATCACACTGGATCCGTCTTCAAAAGCTCACGTAATGCTACTGCTCACATAAAGCATAGAAAAACAAGTTGTTACTTGTTTTTAGAGACTGTTTGTGCGCTATAGGATCAGGCATGATCCGGAATTTCGAGCAACTTCAAAGTAGTATAACTTTGGAAGAAAACCATTTAAAGATGAAGGGTTGTGATAAAGAACACTGCACCCTCATAAAGAACTCAACAGGGTTCTGTTTTTATTTTGTTATTTATGGGTTACAATTTATGCGGGCTAAGACAATTATAAAGTGGATTAAAGTAAACTGTAGTTGCACCTCCGTCAGACTGCATGGCTATTAATTTGACCAACTTTGGCATGAATGTGCCAGAAACACCCTGTTGTCATGATCGGTAGCACATGACCGAGTTACTGTCCGTTTTTCTTGTAGTCGATTGCTGTATAGAAGCACATCGGGGTGAATTCCTTGCTCAAGGAAACTAGCGGTCAATGGGAAACACTGACGTGCTTAAATTAGAAATGGTCACGGTACCTGTGGCTTACAGAGCCATAATCTAGATGTACCGCTGCCTCCCCCTTTCCCCGTAGAGATCACAATTATGTTTACGCTCTGTGATAGAAAAGGACAACATATATAGGGTTTTACATAAGTATAATATTTTGAGCGTCATATGATGTTCGGAGATGAGTGTGGTCAATTTAGACCAGCATTATTTCGTGCGTGTATGCGCAGTCGGAAATAATGCAAAAAGAGACGTATCTGTTTGAACGCATCGATTCGGGCATTTTGCGAGAACCAATTCGACACCTGAAGTGCATCGCTTTCCTGCGGCCGACCTCAGAGAACGTCGCTCTGCTTGCGCAGGAATTTCGTTCTCCACGTTACGGCCAATATTTTGTTTGTACGTTTGTGAATATGTTTCATTTGGCTAATTGATGTTGCTACGTAGATTTTTCGAACGTCATTAGCAAAGCTGACGTAAAGATTCTGGCTGAGGCAGATGAACAGGAAGTCGTGAGGGAAATGCAGGTAAGAGTTTAGAATTCTTTCGTTCTGCGACATTCTTAACGAATCAGTGTCAACGTGACGTTTTCTAACTCAATGTCTTTAGGCTCGTAAAGGTCTACATTCAAAAGACCATGCGAAAAGATCAGTTTAACATGGCGATGAATAATATATGATTATTCTTTCGTTAATTTTATCTTTTTTGTACTACTTATGATTAAATTCAAAAATTTTTATTCTTCCGGTTAACATTCTGCTGATACGTTGGGTGATTCTGTTGCTTTTTGAATCTCACCTGATCTATTTAATGCGAAAATTAAAGGCATCGTCAAAGAAATTAAAATTTTCATAAATAGTAGTTGAACCTTTATTTTTTTTTAAAAAGATAAGCAAATAATCCTGCTTTTTAGCAAAAATAAAAGAAAAAAACTGCCAAAGTTAAAGAATTAATAAACAGCAGTGCAAAAATATCGCTATATCGCTCTAGACATATCATATAGGTTATTACTGTCGGTTTATTGGTCGTCTTTGCAGTTTCATAATTGGCGCAATTGTAGCACATTTCTGCGTAGCATAATTCTTCATCTGCATGCCTTCAGCGAGAAGTACCGTTTTCTTTATGAGCACAACTCAGGTTTACTTCTACATATTGTATTGATATAGACAAAACAAGATGCGAAATGCATCTGGCGCTCTATAACGTTTTGTGCAGCCATTTGGACGTTCGGTCCCACGGTCACCGCGTTGAATTTGTATAACTGAACATTGGTCAGCTCCTTCAACTGCATGATTCAGCCCATCATATTATATATCAATGGATAGCCCTCTGTCAGTGAAGTTCCGTGGCGTTGTGAATCTAGTGAAGTTTTTATTACAGTTTTAATGGGTGTATGATGTCAACACGCCAGGGTGCAGTCTACAGCAGCGAGTGTAAATTTATATCATTTATCATTTCTATTAATCATTTGACTTTATCTCTTATTCTGCATATCATTGTAATATCGATGATTTTCGTTTTCTTTTATGGTCGCTGATCGGTTGTCGGATGGTCATCCATATCGATTGCTTGATTTAATCCCTCACGTTATGCATCTTTCGAAAGTTTTTTGTGAGCAGAATGTGAAACTCGTCATAAGTATCAATTTCAAGGTTGGTCATCTTCGTCTGAATATTTCACTGCGACTATTATGCAAATTATCTGTCAATGAAATAAATTCTATCTCACGACCACAGACGGTGCAAAGAGTTATCGCCATCGCACAGCCATTGTCATATAACTGCAATAAGAAATTCACTAGTTTGACAACGACATTGTGCTTTACTCATAGAGCTACCCATTGATATATAACACGTTGAGCTGAATCACGCAGTTGATGCAGCTGACCACTGGCCTTTTATGGTTCAAAGTTGGTCCGTTT